TGTTTTGTGTTGGTTGAAGTTTTGTGGATGATTATGCTGATATGAATTTGGTTGTTGGTACGTGATACAACCTCGTTTAGAGGTTCACTCTAATATCTATAGATTTAAAACACATAAATTCCCAGGGTGCATGGACAATGACCTTGAAAATCAAACAATGGCAAAGAACTAAAATCATGCTCCATTGAAAAAAAAAAAAAAAAAATTGCTAAGAATTGCCAGATACCTCTTACCCAAAATACAGTAGAACCCCTGTTATCCGAGGTAACGTGGGGGGGGATACACCTCGGATAACTGAAAACTCGGATAATCCTAATAGATATATGTATACGTATGTACGTACAGGGTGTTTTTTTATGTATTCACACCCCACCTACAGCCTTTACCCTCACAGGTAAATGAAAGGTGTAAATACAAAAGTTGTACAGTGTTGGTTAAATTTTTAGAATCCATGATCAGAAACAAAAATTGAATGTCAGAAATGTGAAATTTTGCATGCTTTCAGCTTTTTTTAAATGGGATGCGCAATATTTGGTTCTATATTCTTGAAGAGCACAATTTCCCGATTCCAAAACTATATAGTTTGTCTGTATTGTATTTGGTTGAGCCGTCTCCAACATATTTGGTTTTAAAAATTTTAAAAATACTATCATAGAAACCAAGTGCCTCAAATTTTACCTATAGCTTTCACCTGTACAGGTAGAATGGTTTACAAAATCACTAGTAGGATAGTATTTTTACAATTTTTGGAGCCGAATATATGAGAGATTGCTCAATCAAATATAGATGGGGGCATTGTGCCCTTCAAGAATATAGAATGAAATATAGAGCGTCCCATTTGAAAAAAGGTGGAAGCATTACAAATAAGTGGATTATTGCGGACCTTATGGGTGAACCTCTGCAGAACAAGCGCAGTGAGTTCGGCAGCCATATAATCACTAATATACTGTTGAACTGTTCAAATAACACATTCACCTGAAACGTGCAGTTTTTAAACTAATGAGAATAACTCACATTTGAGTGAGTCAGGTTAATATCGTAATTAGACATCATATTGATGGAGGTCCACCCATGAGTTCCGCAACAATCCACTCGTTTGTACTTGAATAACTTGTCACATTATATTACTAGTTTGGTAAAGTAACATTACTAATTCCTGTTAATAGGCAAATTGAGAAAAAGTGAACAATCTTACAAATTTTGAGTTTATATAATAAGTTATTGTTCAAGTACGAATAAGTGGATTATTGCAAAACTTATGGGTGGACCTCTGTGGGACGAGCGCAGCGAGTTCCGCAGCCATCTACTCATCAATATATTGTTGAACGGTTCAAGTAAGACATTCACCTGAAACGTGTAGTTTTTAAACTAATGAGAATAACTCACATTTGAGTGAGTCAGGTTAGTATCGTAATTAAACAACATATTGATGAATAAATGGCTGCGAAACTCGCTGCGCTCGTCCCTCAGAGGTTCACCCATGAGTTCCGCAACAATCCACTCGTTTGTACTTGAATAACTTATCACATTATATTACTAGTTTGGTAAAGTTACATTACTAATTTCTGTTGAAAGGCAAATTGACAAAAAGTGGATAATCGGGGATAATACCACGAGAGCTTCAAAATTACCGAAAATTTTTCACGATTGCGTGTTTTCTATAATTTCACGAGTCCGTAGGAAGAGTGAAATTTGCAGAGAAAACACGCATGATTGAAAAATTATCTGATTCATTTTAAAGCTCGAGTGGTATTTAGAGGATTATTTCACGTATGAGAATGCAAAAAAATATGGAAATAAATATGTATTAAACGATTTGAACATCTCGACAATCAATACAAATAAATGGTTGCTATCAGGAACCGTTTGTTTGTATCAAAAATTAGCATGACAACCATGTATACAATAACATGGGAGAATTATCGCTGTAATTCTCTCTAGGTAAACAAATGGAAAAGAGAATTTTCGCTGTAATTCTGAAAATCGTCACTTGTCTTATGGGATTTCTAACACATGAGTGGAATAATCTTACAAATTCTGACTTTATACAGGGTGTCCCACGGTGGATGGCGTATTAGACGTTTATGGAGAACTAAAAAGCGGATCATTTTGAAAATTTGGCAACCGGGGTAAACAGCCATGATCTACACTTTAAAAATATTTTTGTTTATGCGGTGTTGCCGCTTCTACTCTAAACCAGTGGCAACAACGCTATTTTAAATGGAATACCCTATACCCTGTATGTGATTACATATTTTGATTCTACGTAAAATTCTGAGCAGATTTCATGTGATATACGCTATACCTAAGTTCAATTGTTTTGGAATTATTGACAGTTGAAAATTGACTTTTTGCAACTTTGACAGGCTGTAAAACCTGAACGGTTAATTTAAGAGAAAAACCAATTTCACATTCCTATCTTACATTTTCATGAACTATCATTTGACACCAACTTTGAATTTACCCGGAGATTAAATTTAATTGGAATTTTTAATCACGGATTAAATTTGAAGTTGGTATCAAATGATAGTTTTAAAAAATCTAAGATAGGAATGTAAAATCGGTTTTTCTCTAAAATTAACCGTTCAGGTTTTACAGCCTGTCACAGTTGCAAAAAGTCGATTTTCAACTGTCAATAATTCCAAAACAGTTGAACTTAGGTATAGGGTATATCACATCAAATCTGCTCAGAATTTTACTTAAAATCCAAATATGTAATCAGATACAGGGTGTTCCATTTAAAATAGCGCTGTTGCCACTGGTTTAGGGTAGAAGCGGCAACACCGCATAAACAAAAATATTTTTAAAGTGTAGATTATGGTCGTTTATCCCGGTTGCCAAATTTTCAAAATGATCCGCTTTTTAGTTCTCCATAAACGTCTAATACGCCATCCACCGTGGGACACCCTCTATAATAAGTCATTTTTCAAGTACAGGGTGTTTTTTTTATATATTGACACCCCACATACAGCCTTCACCTTTACTAGTAGATGAGAAGTGTAAATACAGAAGTTGGACAGTATTGGCTAAATTTTTAGACAGAAATGTGAAATGTTTTATGCTTTCACCTTTTTTCAAATGGGATGCCCTATATTCGGTTTTAAATTCTTGAAGAGCACAATTTCCCGATTCCAAAACTATATAGTTTGTCTGTATTTGGTTGACCAACATATTTGGTTCTAAATATTTTAAAAATACTATCAGAGAAACCAAGTACCTCAAATTTTATTTGCAGGCCAGGCCAGGTAGAATGGTTCACAAAATCAATAGTAGGATAGTATTTTTACAATGTTTGGAGCCAAATATAGATCGGGACATTGTGCTCTTCAAGAATATAGAATGAAATATAGGACATCCCATTTGAAAAAAGCTGGAAACATGCAAAATTTCACATTTCTGACATTCAAATTTTGTTTCTGACCATGGTTTTTAAAAATTCAGCCATAACTGTACAACTTTTGTATTTACACCCTTCTTCTACATGTAAAGGTTAAAAGGTAAAGACTGTAGGTGGGGTGTCAATATATAAAAAAACACCCTGTATATTCTAAAAACTCGGTTAATACGGAGTATGGACGTGTGTACCTAGAATAATTAGGACTCAAAAAGAGAAAATTGTGTCTCCTGAGCCATCAATCGATGTTGTTTTTCAATCATTTTGTGAAATTTTAATGCTGAGACGCTTGTTTGATATCAATTGGCTCATGTTGCCATTTGACTGAAAAACAAATCAGTGAAAAAAAACCATGTTCGGGACGTTGAACTACCCTGTATAATGCAATATGCAAATCACGTCCTCATCTTTTACTGCATTTAAACGACGTGTTGGTGGACTTTTATAGATGGGTGAATTATTGATGGCAGTGTCCTTTTGAATATCACAGTACCTCGAAACAAGGCGGTCGTTTTCGAGTTTATTTACCTCGGCCGGTTTTAGAGCCTCCGCAGGATGACTCTTCGAAATAAAATTAATGACTTAGGTTTTTTTTTTAAAATCTTATATCAGCAGGTCATGAAAAAGTATTAATCCAATACAACACTAAAACGAATATTATTATTACTGCTGCTTTGCTGTTATGCTTAAGTAATTCCAACCTTAACTTAAGAGGATCTTGCGACATGAAATCTTTTGTGTAAAAAATTGCATTGCTACTGCAAAGGTCATTATTTAAATTTTATGCTGCTTATGCTAGTCGGTTTCCTAAATGTGTATTCATTCATAATAATTGACTCTCGCTTATGCGCTTCTCCTAACATGAAAATACACGATTTATAGCAGCTTGTTGATGTATTTATTTGTCCTTTTTGTAGATAAAAATTCCCTTGAGTTGAATGAGGAATTTTGTACTTTCCAAATTCAATAATGTCAAATCTATTTAGAAAGGCAAACTAAGTATAGATTAGTAGGTAATTGTAGTAATTAAAAACATAATGGTACCCTTAATGATTAATAATAATCATTATTATGAAGGATAATGGGATTGACTAATATTGAGAATTTAGATAGAGCATCACTTAAGGAAGTTTCTCTTCTCATAAAATGCTTTAAATTCACTTCTAAAGTTCTAAATAAAAGTTAGATATTACTGACAATATGACTCTTTTATATTCATCCTGTAACATATAACTTTTCTGTTGAATAACCGGCTAAGACCAAAACCAACCCTCTTGACTCAAGGTTACATGACGCTCTCAGCTCAAAACAATTTTTTTCTTTAAAGCAGCTGCCTGATTTATGAAAATATACCCCAATTTTCACCTATTTGAATATCAGAGTTCCTTCTTATAAATCAAACCTAGTAGTGGAGCAGTGATATTTTATCATTTTTTTCCGGTAACATAACAATAACATATACAAATACAAAGTATTCAAAAAAAAAAATCACGGGAGTAATCCAGAGCAACTACTGGCTATTCGGCAGCAAACCTATTTCAGGAAAGCTTTTGATCTCAGAAGTTTATATAAATCTTAAAAAACTAGCAATATTCTTATCACTCACCGAAATCATAATGTCCTCTCACAAAAACAAAATTATCCAAAAACAACAGTCATTAATCCACAAAACTTAAGGCACCTCACGTTTCCAATTCTCAACACACCATAATAGTACGCGAATCGTAACTCGATAAGTCGTATACCGTACGGCACCAAATCGAAAAACTTCTGCAATACCGCAGTACTATTGTTGTAATCCAAAGACACCGCAGTTCTTCAACGAAACGAAGAACCGATGGCCACCGCAGAAGAAGGTGAAAGGTAACACCGACGGGCTGTGGGGCGGGGAGAGACTTTTACGTGTGATTGTGTGTGGTGCATGATATGCACATTGTAATTATTATTATTAATGCGTTAATGAATAAAAAATTACAATCCCCTCTTTTTTCTGTCATTTTTGACTCTTACCTTTTTCTTCTAATATCCAATAATTTTAAGAAAAAAAAAAAAGTAAGAAACCAATGGCATTTTTTTCCAGGAAACAATACCTCCTCTACCTACCTATGGGCTAGGAAGGTACTATAAAAAAGTAACTCGATAACTAGTATTTTTTCTCTCAGAAATCAATTTGAGATGTCAGTTTTCTCTTGTTACTTGAATTTGATAGCGCACTCTGACACCTCGCTCTGACTACGTGCGTGCTTCCAGCTTTGCGAAAAGTATCTAGTCTCAAAATGGAGTCGGTGATTTTAGTCAAAACCATTACAACTTTCCTAGGGAATAGGCATGTCGCTTCATCTTCTTCTTCCTGTCCGTTGAGTTTCGAGAGAGTATGGTAACATCATGTCTCTATTGCGCGGATTGTGGATCCCTATTCTTCACTGTTCTGAACTGCTAGAAAAGCTTTTCGCAGACCATGGGCAATAATTTCTTTGGTTTGATCCAGCCAGTGCGTCGGAGACCTTCCTCTTGGTCGTTTTCCATTGATTTTTCCTTCGACGATAAGTTTTTACAAGCCATCTGCTGGTCTGCCCTTCTTGAAATGTATTTAACATACCTCAGGTATGACTGGTTTATTTTGGTTGAAAGTCTTGTAGTGACTTTTAGCTGCTTAAGAATAATTGATACGTTGGTACGATGTTCTGTGCACGAAATTTGGAACATTCTTCTATCTATTTTTCTTCGGTTGGCAGTTTTTAAAATCCAGATCTCAGAGGCATATGTGGCAATGAAATAGATCAAGATGCTCGGTAGTTTTATACTGTTGCTTTGGGATATTGCAGTGTCTTTTCATAGTCGAGTTAATTTTGTTGTCGAATTACGTGCTATTGAATGTCTGCGTTTTATTTCTTCGTCACATCCTCCCCTTTGTTGAGACCACGCTAGAATTTAGATGTCGTCAGTATATCTGAGGTCCGTTATCTTTTTTCCTCCTATCGTTAGTCCACCTGACCAACCTTCTAGAATTTTTCTGATTATATAATTTCCATATGTTATGTATATTATTGAAGAGAATGGGCGATACAATGCACCCTTGTCTCACGATGCATTTCGGACGAAAAACTTAGATACATTGTTGTTGACTTTCACTTTCGCGAAGCTGTTTTGGTACTCCTGTTCTTTCCAAGACCAACCACAGTTTCTACTACTTTACACAATCAAAGGACTAAAGACCGGTTTACATTTTGTTAACTGCAAGTGTGTAGTGTCAAATGTTAATTTGACATGTTGAGTGTTACTAGACAGAAAAATAGAACACGATTTGTTTCACTTGCACTTATAAGTTTTTCACATTGAATTCATATATGCTTTCTCGAATATTTTTCTGACATAACATGAACCCTGTTTATTCGTCAGGGATTTGTAGAAGCAGGAGAGTTTTTATCCAGTTGTTTATTATGAAGCAGAATTTTACTTGCATGCGACATAAGTGCTATTGTTCTATAGTTGCTACAATCTGTAGGAGAGCCTTTCTTGTGTAATGGCATAATATACCGATTCACACCATTAATAAAAACAGCTTCAGGTATAACAACGCAAATAATTCACAATTAGCACTATTCAAAACTCATAACACCATTTGATAACGCATAAAAAAAGACTTATTAAGGCGAAGGGTTAAGGTATAATAGTTATTTATATTACTAGTGCGGTATGAGCTTCATTACAGTAACGAGTGGGGAATATTGCCAAGACGAGGTCGTAGACCGAGTCGTGGTAATCACACGAGTTGTGTAATGAGCGTTGCCGTACGTGTGATATACAACATTTTATGTACGACCCAGATTTTTTTCATATATTCGAGATGGTTTTAATGTTTCACAAAAGATTATTTATAATTTTTGATAAATGAATTTTAAAAAGTGCAATTTTTAAATAAAAATGAGTTACTTACATCACTGAGTGATGTAATGAGAGCTCATTACATCAGTGAGTGATGTAAGCTCATTACATAACTAAGCACGATAATGCAACTTATTACGTAACTCAAACAGGCTAAAATGAGTTACGTAATAAGCTCTTACAGTGTAGGTCGTACATAAAATCATAAATGCATTATTTGTGTATTTATTCATTATCTTGAAATTATCAATGTCCAAACAATGTCTACTTGATGTTTTTTTTTTTTTTTTATTAAATTATGGGATTGTTTATTTTATTGTGAGGGAGGGTTAAAAGACGTTCATCAAATTCTTCATATTATAAGCACCATCTCCACCAATTTTTTGTCACAGAATTCCTATCAAATAATTTTGATTTAAGAGCAGTTTAATATTAACTCGAAACATTTGATCTATTTGTTGTAGGCGCATAGTTTTCACATGCAGAGACTGATATGTCTTATTTTTAAATCAAATTCTCTACCCTTGATGAGTTATGAGTTGAATTCAAACAATCTGGAAAAATGGATAAAATATTACTTATTGCCGAAACTAACCGAATCATCCATTATAGTCTTGGATAATGCGCCTTATGGGATGCTTGATTATTCCGTACGAATGCAAATTTCCAAATATATCAATTTTTTCGGAATCTGGTAATAGTGTACCAAAAAACTTAAAAATTTAGACAGCCGACCGAATTATTCAAGAAGCTGAACTTTAAAGGTTGCGGCTACCCAGTAACCATACCATGAATAATTTCATGTAATTGAAATGGTATACGATTCCGTGCTAAAAGCTTTTACGACCAGGTTATTGGGAATCAAATGTTGTTCGGAGCTGGATTGATTGAAATGTCTATACGAAATAAATTCGTGAAAAAGATGATTTTTCTATTATGGCAAGAATTCACTTTTTTATGCTAAATATCTTATAGAAAACCAGTTGCGAGACTTTTCCATCTCTTTTCTAGTCTTCACTGTGAGGACCGTCTCTTTTGCGGTAATGCCAAGTTTCATTTGTTCCACTTCTATAGACATTTTTGATTTATCATCTACTAACATAAGAAAATTTCGACCAAATCTGTGGAAGAAATAAATGTTTATTCGAAAGAAATTACTTGGTGCTGATGGCCATGAAATCAAAGAATTAGTGTTAATGAAATTCTGAAGTTGTTGGCAGACTTCACAACAACTTATAAACTGCTCCACATCTTGGTTTAAACCTGGCCACCAACAATATGACCTAATTAACATTTTTGTTCTGACTATGCCCAGATACTTTCATGGAAAAGTTCCTTACGACGTGATATCTCTGGAATTACTACCTTATTACCTAACAGCAGACAATTTTGTTCCACTGAGAGCTCTTGTCTCTTTCTAAAATATGGTTTTAACTCGTTTCCAACAGAATTTGAAAAACCTGATTTCGATTTCGTAAAATATAATATTTTCATAGTAATATCACGAGTGCAATGGAAATTATCGATAATTTTGGGGAAATTTGCTCGAATGCATTTTTAGTTGAAAAAGAGCACGAGTGCACCTAGTGCACGAGTGCCTTTTTCAGTTAAAAACGCATGAGTGCAAATTTTTCAAAAATTAAAAATATATTTCCATTGCACGAGTTGTATTTTATGAGAGAATTTCATGAATCAAAATTTTAAATTTTTTGTCAAAAAATGTCAAAACACCAGTTCTCGCACCAGAGCTGCTTTCCAGTGCCTAAATTGTTAGAGTATCATGCTCCTGGAGTGTGACGCTCTTGAAGTGTTCGACATAAGCAGCACTGGAACGCTCTCGTCTTAACCCCCATCATTTCGAACTTCAGGAGCTTAGGAGCATGAAACACCGAAATAAAGGTTGGTGCACGAGGGGGCAGGGGATAGCAAAAACGAGTAGTTCAAGTGTACGACGCTCCAAGCACTGAAATTGTGGAGCACTCCTGAGCTGCTCAGGAGTAGCTCAACTGGGTCACTGGAAAGCACTTCAGTTACTATGCAATTCCAATCTGATTGGTTGAAATCAACAATCGAAACATGTCAGTTTATTGTTGGAATGGCAGTTTTGACAGATGTATGAAATCTATATATATAAAAATTAATGCCACTTTTGGTTGTAATTTTATAACTCAAGAACGGGCTCACTTAGCCAATCCAAATGTTTAGGCTTTGTTCGGACTATTTATTAGATGGTTTATGTAAAGTTTGCACAAAATCGGTCGAGCGGTTCTTTATTTATCACATTTTTTGTAATAAATAAATTATTCAATAAATGGAGGATCATTTTGTTAATGGGGATTTTGCTGTCAAATTGAAACTTTTTTCAGCGTTGACAATACCAGCATGTTGTAATGTCATTAATGTGGTCATTTCATTACTTAATTCATTTATTTATGAAAAAAAATTACTAAGCCCGCATACGGCGCCATCTCTTATAACCGATACCAAGTTTATTTTGTATTTTGTATACCGCGCCATCTCTGATACTTGGAACGAAGCTCGGCATTGCAGATACAGTAGAACAATGCTGCTCAGGAACTGGAGCTATTTCGAACAGAACTATTCTACTATTCCAATCAGATAGAGTGGTGCAGAATGAGTAGATCAGATAGAGTAGTGCAGATAGAGTAGAACAGATGGAGTAGTGCAGTGCATGCAGTGCAGATAGAGTGAAACAGGGCTGCGCTAGAGATTTTTTTTTGTTTTCTTGACATTCTTTGAACATTCCTGTGCCTGAGTTTATTTATTTGGTGGTACACTTTACAAGAATAATGCATACAAGCTGCCTAAAAAAGGATGATGTAAAATTTTAATTTTAGGTGACTACTGATCCAGAGAGTAAACATTAATTTTCTTCAACCAAAGCCAAATTCACCATCGAAAAAAAATGAATTTAATTCAGCTAATAGATACGTTAACACAACATTTAATAGGTATATTTAATAATTCAGAGGCGGTACGAAGTTCGCCGGGTCAGCTAGTTCTCATTAAAATTGAATCACAATTGAATCTTTGCCTGTCGCAAATGCAATATCTTCTGAATTGAGAGGTATTTCATTTATTAAGCTAAATGAAAATATACAATCTAAGATTTCATTACTGCTACTAATTGGTAACCTAGAAAGACCATTGGCATTAGCAATTAATTTACCCTTCTTATTTAATAGAATAATAATAGCCGGACAAAATTATGGTCCT